ACAAACTAGTTGCTTCAACAGACTCAAGCAACATGTGTGAGAATGGTACAAGTTTGAGCGGTGCTCCACGTGTTGTCTCGAGGCCACGTGTTCGGATGGCTTCTCCAGAGAAGCACAAGTGACACTTGTATGTGCATGCATGAGACTTATATCCACTTGTATGTGCATGCATGAGACATATCCAAAAGTGGCTCACACAGTTGTAGAAGCTGGTAAGTTGAGTCCCGTTCAAGTCTGTGGGTCAGATATAAGCAGGAGATGTCTCCTGGCTCCTGATGAACGGGCAGCAGGCAGTTGAAGCTGGAGGACAACAGGCTGGTGGCTGCTAAGCTGAATGCTTCTGAGTTCAGTGCAACGAATCCAAGGTCTGCAGTCTGCTGATGGCTCCTGGGATCAGCAGGTGGCGCAGGATCCAAATCCAGCGGAAGTCTACTACCTTCCGAACAGTGTCATCTGTGCCAAGAGAAGGCCACAACTGGAATAAAGTCTCCTTCGATCAAATCAGATTGAGGAGGTCTATTCTCCCCACGTCGCTTGCCGGCTTCACAGAAGATCCGATCATAGAGTTGACCACACTATGTGAGAGCACCACGTGGGAGAATCCTACCTACCCAAGTTCATATAGAACTGAACTATCACAGATCACTATAAATGGGACCTAACAGAACCACAGCCAACAGCAAAGGGGGATTCTTGGTAGGGTAGTGGTTAAGTGCCGAGCTGCTATCTGAAAGGGGGGCAGTTTGAGCTCACTGTTTCGTCCCTACAAGAAAGGTGTGACAGGCTGTTTCTGTAAAGATTACAGATGTAGAACCTTCTGCGGCAGTGCTCCATGAGTCAGAATCCACTTGGCAGCAATGGGATGCAGGAGATACCAAAGGAGTTCCTGGATGGTGCCAATGATTGTTAACACGCTGGAGGGTTGAGTCCACCCAGAGGCACTGTGGAAGAAAGGCCTGGTGATTCACACCCCAAACCTCAGCCATTGAAAACACTAGGAAGCACAGTTTTGCTCTGACACTCATGGTGTTACCTTGAGTCAGCAGTGACTGAACGGCAATTGGTAGAGAACAAAAGCACTCTTGTTTCCATTTGATTAAAACCATACGACGTTATTCTCCACAGGGACACCCAAGCTAGGAGATAGTCTTCCTAACATCCTAGCAGTCTCTAACCGCAAACGCAGGGCTTTCTGCATTGTCATCTCAACCCTGACTCGGAAGCTCAGGTCCCCCAGCCTGACCTCTAAGAGTAGAACACAACCTAGGAAAGGCTTGATGTGTTGCGGATCATGCCTTTGTGTTTAAACGTTTAATTATGATAACCCTTGCTGTTGTTTGTCCGAGTCTATCTTGTTTAAGATTTGGGCAGCCCTTCTGGAATCTGTGTAACTCTTGTCAAATTTAGGACATGGTCAGTCATCATTTAAAAAAAAAATTTTTTTCTTTATCAGGGGAGAGCGCGAACGCAGTCCCCCACTACCACAAATGATGCAGCAGAGTTTCCCACATTTGGAGAAATCTCAGGGTCAGCACGTCCGGAGTGCAACGGGTGAGCCTCGCCCTGGGAAAACCACCTTCGTGATCATGGTGTCTCCCCTGCCAGGTGAGTCATCATTTCTTCAAGTGCCTGCGCAGCCCTCTCTATCCAGGAAAGTCATCGCTTGCCTCCATTCTGCTCCGGAGCTCGCTCACGGAGCCCTTTATTTGAGCTATTCTACTTCTCAGTGCGGGAATGTCCATTGGGTTCTGCGTGCCATGGTTTATTCCAGTGGTTTCTTTCCTGAGACTTTGGCGTCTCGGCTGCACTTTCTTTCTTTTTCATGTGTGTGAGTTTGTAATTGCATGCTGGAGCATTTTTATCATGGCCCCTTCAAATGGGTGGCAGATCATTCTAATGTAGCTCGTGTTCATTCTAGCATCTCTGTCTTCTGGGTGTTGGCATCCATTCAGTTTGAGATCTTCTTGGTTCTCGGTCTGATGAGTGATTTTCAATTAATCCCCAGACATTTCCATATCATGTTCCGAGACTCCTGAGCTTATTTAAGCTTTCTGCTTTGGCTACTTTTTTTCTGACACTCCTCTGGCATGGGAAAGGAATCTTGCCTCCTTATTCCCGGGTGGGGTAGAACCTCAGTTTCTCACTTGCCCTCTGTTGACACCAGGTAGGGCAGCTCCTCATTACTGATGGAGTTGTGGGAATTCTCCTGTCTACAAGGTCTCTACTGCCGCCACAGGATCGATGGGGGAGCGGGTGGACTTAATACCACCAGTGGGATGTAAGTCTTGGCTCCATGCTTGGTCTTGGAAAGTCGTCCTTGGAGTCTCTGGAGGGGTAGTTCTAGACTCTGCATTTGCCCACTTCTGGCATGGGAGGGCTTGGAGCCCCAGGTTTTCTGCAGGGGCTGGCAGTTATTCACTCAAAGCTTCCTGTCTTGAGAGGCTGCCCTTTATTTCTGGAACCTTTTATTCATCTGTGCTGGTTGGTGTGCCGAGTTGCCTCCCTGTCTAACATGCAGTCCAGTCTGTGTGAGGCAGAAAGAAATGAGAGGGGTTGACCACCCTGCAGGCTAAGCATTCCCAGGCCCCCTGCGTCTTCTCTTTGCCTTTCAGAACCTTCTTCGCTTTGTTTGATCATGGCAGATGATGCTGGTTGGACTTGTTTGTTGCAGCTGAGTTGAGTCGGACCCATGGAGACCCCACTCTGTGTGCCCATTCAGGATTCAGATTCCACGCCTGTCTTCCAAGGTTCCTCACCGTGGCTTTGCGCTGCCCCCTTTCGGTGAGTTGTCCGGCACAGAGCCGGTTGCATTACCCAGAGCCTCTTTCGGTTGTACAGTGAACCATTTGAGAGTCAGAACTTGATGGATGGGACTCCTTTTGACCCCAGGTCTTGCAGATTCCCCACCTTTGGCACAGTACAGTCTCACCACTTTAAAAACTATATTTTCAAAAATATTGGAGCTTTCCCTCTCTGACAGGTTTCTGCCTTGCAGTCACTCACTGCAGTTGAGTTGATTCTGACTTAAAGCAGCCTTCTAGGACAGGGTAGCACAGTCCTTTGGCCAAGGGGGTTCTGAGGCTGTCCACCTTAATAGGGGACAGAGGGACTAGTGGGTGTGAACTGCTGCCTTTGCATTAATGAATATTCATGATCAATGAATAACCCACCACAGCACAAGGCTTCTTTGACCTTAAGATTCTGGCTTTCACGGGTTTTCTGTTCTTAGTGGGAAGGATAGGAAACGATATGTCTATTCCATCTTTCTCGGAGCAGAGTTGGGTCTTTACTCTGAGTCAATCAAACACCCGAATGTGTCTCAGCTAGAATTCAGCCCTGCTCCTCAAATGAGTGTCTCTCCTGTTCTCCTCCCTCGGTCACATTTCTATTCATGTTCCCCACAGTTATTCAGGTAGGAAACATGAGTATTCTGTCTTTACTGCTTCTCTTATGTCTCCCCTACCTTTTGTTCAGACCTGGCTTGGGCCCTTGTGTCTCATTCTTGTCTTAATGGGTCACATGACTTGTATTCGCACCAATCTTTCCCCCTCCGTCTATCTCCTAATCTCTCTAGGGCAAATATCCACAGACATTTGAATGCTGTGGGGTTATACTTTAAAAGGGTCTGTGAATAAATACACTTGGGGAATGTCTGCTTGAATAAAGCGCGGAGATCTCTATCGTGGGAGTCTCAGACTTCTCAGTGTGCTGCACCCACGGTGAACAACCAAGAAAACGACACAGGATACTGAGCTGCCTAACTTTCTCGGTGAAAATCCCCTTCTTATCCAGGTGGCATTTCTAGAATCCAAAGTTCTAGAAGAGGAAGTTACCACTTGTCTGTTAGTTTGCCTGACTCTGTGATGCTGGAAGCGATGCTACTGGTATTTCAAAGAGTGTGGTAGTTATATCATCGCATGTCAGCGTGAGGGCATTAAGAGTGAAAGGGTGGCGTCTAGTCTGCCAATCAAGTCACAGCCTGCTGATGTCTCCTTGTGTGCATGGCTTTCTCATGAGGATTCTGGGAACTTCTTCTCTCTCTCTGCTTCACCTTCCTGTTGACAAGCCACATGGAGCCACTCTGATGGCAGCCAGAGCCCTGGAGATGCTTCCACCAACACTGGATCCTCAGGACTTTTCACCCACTCGCCTGTGATCTTCCTGCATTCGGCATCATTGTGAGTGGTTATGTGAGTCTGAAGAGGAATTTATTGACTAGTCTTGGACATATGGACTCATATAGAAACTTATGGCCTTGATCTGGACTGGGCTGAGATGCTTTTCTCAATATACAATTGCTCTTTGATATAAAGCTCTCTTACACATATATGAATGTCCCTGGATTTGTTTCTCTAGTTAGCCCAGCCTAATACAAGTAGGATAGGTTCGGTGGAACTTCCTAACTAAGACAGGTTAGGAAGAAGGACCTGGGATTTACTTATTAAAAAATTAGCTTTTGAAAAGATTATGACTAGCAGTGGACCATTGTCTGACATAGTGTTGAAAGATGCCCCTCGTGTAGGAAGACACTCAAAATACGGCTGGGAAAGAGCTGCCTCCTCAAAGAAGAATCCATCTTAATGACATCTATGGGTGGAGAAAACTTTAAGGACTCTCGTTTGCTGATGTGGCTCACTCAAAATGAGAAGAAAGAAGTGTAAACATCTATTAATAATTGGAACATGAACCCTATGAAAAATGAATGTAGGACAATTTAAAATCATCAAAGGTGAAATAGAATATATAAAGCTTGGCATATTGGTCTTAATGAACTGAAATGGATATTTTGAATTGAACTACCATATGTATGGATTACAACTCAATGTAAAGAAAGCCAAAATCTGCACAACTGGCCCATTAAGTGTCATGGTAAAGAGAGAAGTTGTTGAGCATTTCCTCTTGCTTGGATCCACAGTCAATGCTTATGGAAGCAGCAGTCAAGGGCTCCAGTGACATATTGCATTGGGTGAATCTGCAGCGTAAGACCTCTTTAAAGTGTGGTAGTTGGAAGATTTTATGTCAACTAGATATTCCTGGCTAGGGGAGGAGCCAAACGTGTCAATCAAGTGGTAGCTTGATGATACCTCTTTGGGTTGGGGAGGGGCTTTTGTATGAGGGTGAGGGATTCTGGGAACTGCGTGCCTCTCTCTCTCTGCCTGCTGGAACTCTGCTGCCGCCAGGGGTGGCCCCATGTGGGCCAGCTGAGCCTAAGAACTGTGAGTACCCTGACATGTTCCCACTGATCTTGAATCCACACAACTCTGCACCTAATGGCCTATGAATTTCCTGCTTCCAGGTTCACCTTTCTGCACCACTGGCATGTGGCTGCTTAAGTCTGAAGAGAGACTTATGCACTAGTGTTAGACTTAAGGACTTAAGGTGGACTGTGCTGGGATGCTTTCATGATATATAATTACCTCTTGATATAAAACTCTTTTATATATATATATATAGAGTGTCACTGGATTTGTTTTTCTAGACAACCTGGCCCAACAGTGTTAAAAAACCAAAGATGTAAGATATGACAAAATAACAATTTATAAACTATCAAGGGCTCATGAGGGAGGAGGGAGCGGGGAGGGAGGGGGAAAATGAGGACCTAATGCCGAGGGTTTAAGTGGAGAGAAAATGTTTTGAGAATGATGAGGGCAATGAATGTGCAAATGCGCTTTACACAATTGATGTGTGTATGGATTGTGATAAGAGTTGTATGAGCCCCTAATAAAATGATTTTTTTAAAAAACCCAAAGATGTTACTTTGAGGACTAAGTTGAGCCTGGCCCATGGCAGGTATTTTCATCTGAAAGCTGGACATTGAGCCGAGAATGCTGAAGAAGAATCGAAGCATTTGACTTACTGTGCTGGCAGTGAGTGAGGAGCACACTGTGGACCATCTTGAAACAAGTGCAGCCAGAATGCTCCTTATAGGCAAGGAAGGCGAGACTGGGTCCCCTGTCCCTTGGACATGTTGTCAGGAGAGACCCGTCCCTGGATGACATCAGCTTGCTGAAGTGGAGGGATAGTGAACAAGAGGGAGACCTTTGACAGGATGGATTGACATAGTGCTCACGTAAGAACCCGTGTGAGGTTGGTACAGGCCTGGGCAGGGTTTCATTCTGTCAGGCACTGGGTCAGAACTGACTTGATGGCGCCCAACAACATGCTGTGCTCTGCCAGCAAGGACAAGTAGAAGAGGAGTGGCATCACATTCACTGTCAAAAAGAACACCTAACGACGTATTATAAACTATAACACCGTCTGTGGTAGGATTGCATATACACCTTTAAGGAGGACAAGTCAATGTAACTATTGTCAATGTATACACCAAATAAGGCCAAAGATGAGGAAATGAATGATTTTTGCCGCCTTCTGCGTTTTTAATAAGAAGCCCTGGTGGTACCGTGGGTTAAGCATTGAGCTGCCAACGGAAAGGTTAGCAGCTTAAAACCAAAAGATATGCCAAGGGAGAACATCTATTTCTGTAAACATGTATAATCTTGGAAACCTAATGGAATAGTTCTATTCTGTCCTATGAGTTGCAGCGAGGCTGTGGAGCACAGTAAAATTCATCATTGTAATTTCCATGTGACAGCTGGAAACAAAAGAAGAAGGA